GATAAGGTTGTTTTGTAAAAAATGTAAATACATAACTTATCAGCTATCCAACAAGTTAAAAAAAAAAAAAAAAGAATGGAATAGCATATTTGACAAATGTATTAAGTATAATGAAGAGTACTTTAAAGGTGGTAAGTTTGTTTTGTAAAAAACATTTATATACATAGCTTTGGGGTGAGGTTCCGGTATTTGGGGGGGTACCCCCTTGTATGTTAGGAGTATTTAAGCCTACTTATTTACACATGCATCTGGGATGGAATTAGATTTAAAAGTAACAAGTTTATGTATTCAAATCTCAATTTAATTCATCACTTGCATTTTAAGTTTCTATCATGTACAAAGCTCAATAAAAGCTGGGTAAGACAGTGTTCATGCCATTAAGGGATTTCATTATCTTACAAACTATATCATTTTACTAATAACTAGTGACTTAATTATAAACTCTTTGATACTACCTAATATAAATCACAATTCCTAGACTTACAAACTTGTTCAGGATTACCACACATATTTGAATATAGATGAATAAAACTGCAATATAAAGTGTTAAACATGCATTTAAGCAATGGATATATAAAAGTTCCTCATAAAGTTAATACATGTAATAAAGCAGCAAAGTCTGCCAGAGCCACTGTAAGAAAAGATGAGGGCAAAACTGCCTCTGAGTAAGTGACCAAAATATTTTTTATTTTGAACAAAACTAATTGTCCCCATTCCCAAAAGAGCTTTGGTGTCACCACTGGAATTTTTTCAAAACGCTAATTCTCAGTCCTACTTAATCAGAATCTGCAAGGGCAGAGATTATGTAGTTTTAAAAAGCTCTCCAGGTAGTAATTTGGATGTTAGTCCAGTGTTTTGAAATATGTTTTCATAAGACTGGGCCAAGACCAAACTTGGCTGCTTATAGCTGTGCAATTTGGGGCTAGTTACTTAACCTTTGAAAACCTCACCTAGAAAATGACTGTGTTCACTCCTATTTTATAGGGTTACTGAGTTAACACCTGTAATAAAGCACTTAGTAAGCTCTCAATCAACATTAGTTCTTACAATAAAGGGTACACAGTAAGTTTGTTCTCAGTGCATTGGTAGTAGTTATGTAATGATGTGATCATCCCCATGGTTATCTCTGATGTGATCAGTTGTAGGGAATTAGCGTGGACAGAACACCTTTAGTCAGGCCAAAGCCTTGATCTGATGTAAGTGGAGCTTCCTTGGTGTGTGATTTGCATCACCTTTCCACATTCAGAGAAAACTGAACAGAGAAAGAAAAACCTAATTATGAGGGGGTTTCAAAAGGTTCATGGATAACTGGAGTTACAAGAGAATAGAAATTTTCCATGAACTTTCTGAAGCCCTCTCATACTACCAATAAAGAAAAATACACAGGGTCCTTGTGCTGAGAACCTACTAAACCTAGAGGAGATTGATAATAAGACACACATGATTTCCAAGGAATGCCCACAGATGTTGAAAGTATATAAGGATCTTCTACCAGAATCAACAGGGAAGAAAATGTTTCTCTAGAGTCTAGAGCTAATATTGGCATCAATTCAATGGGGTGAATTTGGTTTTAGCTGGAGAGGTAGTATCCTGAATTCAAACTTCTAATTTCCTAAGCATGAGCAAATAGATTTGTTTGGTAAAGCCATCCTTTTGTGTTATTTTTATGACACAGAACTAAACAATACAGATCCTCTCTAAGATATGCTTGTCACATTTAAAGTAAAAGATAAAGTTCTTATCATGGACAAAGCTAACCTCACATGATCTCACCACCAACACCCCTTCGATTATTTCTCTGACCCTACTTTGTTACACTGACTTTTGTCCTATTTCTAAACACTCTAAGCACTTTTGCATGTACTGTCCCCTTTGTGTAGAATACACTTCTACCAGATAATGGCTCACTCTTTCATATACTTTGGATACGATGAATGAGGTTGCTCCTGATGCACTTTTACTTAAATCCACATCAGTTTTCCCACCCACAATGATATTCCTCTTACATTGCACACTTCCACCACACTGGTAAAACCTCGATGTTCTCCTGCTGAAAAATTCTTAATGGCTTCACAAGGTCTTAAAGAAAAGTAAAATGCTTGGTGGTAGTTACTCCTCGGAGTTTCACTACCATAATTCTTCAGCAAACCTAGGCAAATCACTTGCTTTTTGAAATGTAACACAAGCCTTCATGCTACTATTCAGTTTGTTAGAGCTTCCTAACTAAAGGACAATAGTATTGGCCACACGCCCTTGATTATAGCCAGGAAGGTCCTGGAGTATCCCCAAACAAATGCATCTAGCTGAAAGCAGTCTCACTAGGTTACTTTAGAATGGAATAGAATCAGGAATCACTAAAATAAGCTATTGAGTAAACAATGTATAGATCAACAACAGACTAAGAAATGCATAATGCTCCATTCAAGTACTCCCTCAACACAAGAACAATTTGTTCTACTAACACGGCTCTCTGTGATGCTCACCTTCCCTGACTCGAGATCGTTGAAGACAAAATGGGTGCGTAAGCAAATGTGGTGAAGAAAGCTTATGGTGCCCAGCTATCAAAAGATATAGCATCTGGGGTCTTAAAGGCTTGAAGATAAACAAATGGCCATCTAGCTGAGAAGCAACAAAGCCCACATGGAAGAAGCACACCAGTCTGTGTGATTATGAGGTGTTGATGGGATCAGGTATCAGGCATCAAAAACACAAAATAAAACAAACAAATCATATCAATGGGAATGAGGGGGAGGGCAGAGTGGAGACCCAAAGCCCATCAGTAGTCAATTGGACACCCCTTGTCAGAAGGGCCACAAAGAAGCGAAGAACCAGTCAGGGTGCAAAAACCTATGAAACACACAATCTTCCTCTAGCTCTTTAATGATTCCTTCTCCCCACCACCATGACCCCAAATCTGACTAGACCAGAACATGTACACTGGTACAGATAAGAAGGGAGGGAGTAAGGGGGAACCGATCACAATTGGATGTATCCCCCTCCACCGTCAGGGGGACGGACAGCAGAAAAGTAGGTGAAAGGAGACAGCAGTTGGTGTAAGACATGGGGGGGGTTGTTTATAAATTATCAAAGAGACATTGGGGAGGGAGAGGGAAAAATGAGGAGCTGATGCCAGGGGCTTAAGTACAAAGAAAATGTTTCGAAGAAGATGATGACAACATATGTACAGATGTGTATGACACAATGGATGGATAGATGGATGGATTGTGATAAGAGCTGTAAGATCCCCCAATAAAATAACAAAAAAAAAAGCATAATGCATTTAATATAAAATCTTTGATTGACAGTTTCCAGTGATATAACCATGAAACCCACTGTTTCTCACTCATAGTGACACTATATGACAGAGTAAAATGGCCCCATGTGGTTTCCAGGCTGTATGTTTATGGAAGCAGATTACTGAGTCTTTCTCCAACACCACCCTAACCTTGACCCTTCAGACTTCTTGTTTCCCAAATTCAAAGAACATTTAAAACACAATTAAGTCTCTCAAGGATGTCAAAACCATCAGTTTTTAAAAAATAATTCTATTGAGATATAATTAACATATCATACAATTCAATAGCTCAATCATATTCACAAGGGTTGTACAATCACCACCACAATCCACTTGGAACATTTTCTTCCTTCTTGATGTGGTATAAACCAAAGGGAATAGAACCCTTCAAGGAAGGGTTAAGAATGATAGAAATACCACCTTCTGAAGTGTACTGACCTAGAAGGGTATGTTCAAAACCAACAGTTTCACATTTTGAGAATTAAGTTAAGGCAAAGTTTCTACGATTTCTTAGCAAAACCTTTGATGTATCCACACACATTAATGAGTACCTCTCTGGATTTTTTGTTGTTGTTTTAAGTATTTCTGATGGTGAAAAAAATAGGGCTCATTCTCATCTAAGAATATTATACTCAAGAAACACTGATTCTTAAGTTTTGTTTCTGATATTTCGATTCTGGCTCATTTTGGTTTTTGCTTCTGCAGAGATAGTTTCTCTTTTATCACCCTACCTACCCAAATACTTTCAAAATGTTCAATTCTAAGAATATAGCATGAAGTATTTGGACTACGATGGCTAAACAGAATCTACACAACTCTTCCCCTCCTGGAGCAAACCTGAGAGGTCTAGAAGATATTCCATATACACCACTACCTTGGACAGCATTTATATTCCCTTTCCTACTATATTTCATCTGCCTGTTCTTTAAAATTTGTTCAAAAAAATAAAAACAAACACTATGTACTCTTTTTAGAAATCCTAATGGAAATCCATGAATACATACTTACCTGGCAGGGGAGATACCATGATCAAGAAATCTGTGAATAAGATCAAATGTACTCTCCTTTTTACTTTTTTTAGCTGCTCTCCACTTAACCAAATTACCAGATTAAGTGATGTTCTCTACTGTTTCTGTATAAACAGATGCCTGTAACTGATGAAGAGTTCCTAGGTGGCATAAAAATTGTTAAGTGTTCAGCTATTAATTGACAGGCTGGCAATTCAAATCCAACTGGATTAGAGGTTCCCATGACTCTATATCAACTCACTATCAACTGCTTTTATACTTCATAAATACTCAAAACCAAAACCAGACTTTGCTATGGAGTATTTGCTGGCTCATAGCAAGCCCCTGTGGGTTTCAGAGACTGTTAACTGTTTATGGGAACAGAAAGTCCAGTCAAGTCTTTCCCTTGCAGAGTTGCTGATAGTTTCAAACTGCTGATCACGCAGATTGTAGTTCACCATGTAATACATGTAGTACACCACTCAAGGCCCACTGAAACGGGCCTTACCATTGCTACTCACCCATACCAGTTAAGCTATATGGTTACTACCATAACCACTGTGTTGGTTCTTAACTATAATAGCAGTTAATTACTTTCTATCATGATTTTGTTAATTAAACATGAGTACAGATATGAAAAGAAAGTTGAATACTTTGGGGAAAGTAAGGTAAGTTAAGCAATTAAAAAAAATCTCTTTTAAACAGTGTGGGTGAGTAAAACTACTAGGGCAATCATACCTGATCTAAAAGGTTTTGGCACTCAACAGCTGCTTCACTAGTTCTTATAAAGACCTGAATTCACAAATGAAGTACTACACTACAGTATTGCTACTACCTAGCACAGTCCTGTTTATAGTAAAGAGGTACTCATGAAATATGCTGAATTAATGTCAATAATACCTGCTGCCTTTGTAGATTCCCATGCATGAAGAATCTATAAGGCAGGGTAGAAATAACTGTTTCCTGGGTTTCTACGTCCCCTCCATAATTTTCTTGGGGACTCTTAAAACATTCCATACATCAATTGTAACAAGCATATTTGTACATATGTTGCCATCAGCATTTCCAAGACATTTTCTGCTTGAGGCCTTGATATAAACGCCTCTTTCCCCTTCCCCCATCCTCCTGCATCCTTGATCGATTATATACCGTTATTTCTATATTGTTTTATCCTACATATAAATTATACATATTTCCATTATTCGTCCCCTTTGTGTGTGGGGGGGAACTATATATCCAATCTTGTGCTGAGTTCCCTTTTCTCCCCCTCGCCCCTCCCTCACAATCTCTCAACCCTCATGATAGCCTCCTGCAGTTTCTGAGACTGAATTTTTACAGGAGCAGACGGCCTTATCTTTCTCCTACAGAGTGGTGGATGGGCTCAAACCAATGATACTGCAGTTACCAGTGCAATGCTTAACCCATAGTCCCACCAGGGTATCTGTGAAAAGTTTATTGCCACAGTGACTAGGGCTCCTTAAGCAATTTACTACCTCATTGATACTGAAGCTCGGATCATGGTTTAGGAACTTTACACAATTAACCAATACTCAATAAATTCACTGGCAACAGGGATGAAGACTAGAAACTTTTCATGAAGCGTCATGGTAATAATGCCTGAGAGCATATTCTAAGTACTTACCTATATATAAGCATAATTACCCTGTGATACAGGTAGTAGCTCATTTCACAAACAAGACCACAAAATGAGCGAAAGGTTAAGTTATCCACAAAACGACAGAAAGTAGAATTTTTGCAATCATATAGAATGCCAAATGACATCTAGCTTCATGTGTTTGACAGTATTAGTCCATTTTTACACCGACAATTATTAAATGGTTAAAACCAAAATTATGATAGCCTTATAATTTTATATAAATGACTAACATTAATCGCTTTAAAAAGTAAAACATTCCAAAATTCTGAATCTCTAAAGCAGATAGATTAAACACTCTTCTACCCTCCAAAGGTTATGCTCACAAGTTTTTTTTTTTTAAGTCTACTGATTTATAAATTTGGATTTTCTGGGCATGGGAGCCCACTTACAAGACATTGAGTAACTAAACGAGGTGGGGTAAAGGTAGGTAGACAAGGAAAACAAATATTTAAATTTGTACTAAGCTACTTGCTCACTGCCTTGAATCATTGCTTTCTCATGGCTAGCATATATTACTCCCCTAGATTTGTCACTAATTAAGCTTAAAATCAGAGAAATTTACTGGCTTTAATGCTTTTGTGAACTGTGGGACAGATAATAACATTTTCTGCCTGTGAGGTTTAATGGGAAATCAATAGTCCCTTTTTCATATGTGCTGCCATTGAGTGGGGAGTCTGTATATATGGGTGAACCTGGCGGAATAGACCTCATCCCATCAACCCCAGCACCAGAGACATGCCCCACTAATTGTGTCAAAATCCCTATTATCTTAAAATTCTTTTTTCATTTCATTCAAAATGCCTTCCACTGCTGAAAACACATGGCTTCAACAAAAAAATATGAATCAGAAGAAAGTAATTCTGTTTTGAAAGGGTTAAAGTCAAGGAAGTCTGTATCTTCTTGTTATTTATTTATGTAAGCAATGCCTGCTATGAAAGATTGAATATAAAATGGATCCTTGTTAAAGCACTTTGAATTTCTGAGTTCTGAAAACCAGGGCACTGTTATTAAATGTGCTAATGCCTAAAATTAGAATACTGTCTGGGTATACTTCAAAATGGAAAAGCTAATTTAATTTAGAACAGTAAGCATGCACCTCACTTAAAGGTATACAGATTAAAAACAGCAAGAGAAATCACTTGCATTCTGCTTAAGTACATGGCATTAATTAAATCAGTAGCCAATTACTACTTACATAAAAGATTATATACATATTATTTTAAATGCCTAATTTTATAGTGTTTTGCTTCCCCACAACTACTGAAGAAGCAAATCTAATTTTTCTTTGTGGACTAATGTTTGCATTTATTACAATTTCTACAATGACACTCAAACTACTATCTGCCAGCAAAATTGTCGGTGAAACTTTTTCCAAACAAAAAAGACCAGCTGAACTCGAGATAAATTTTGTAGTCTGAGCACTATATTCAGTTGGAAAAGCTCCACAGGTGATTCTGATCGAAAGAAGACAGACTCAAGATTTAAAGGGTTTAAAAGCAGCAAAAGCACCCAGATGTCTGTATTTGCAAATATGACTTAAAACTACAATACTGCACACTCAACAAACTTCACAATGAGCTCCTGAAAATGCTCTAACACTATTCATGGTGGGGCAAGGGCAAAAGAATGGCTAACGGTCATTTTTTATTAGGATGCAATAAACAGAAAGCTGGGCTGCACAAATTTGCATGCACATGATTATCATTGCAAAGTGTTAGTGCTAACAGGAGTTTACACAAACTCTGACCTAAATACATCATCACACAATGAATTTATATTCTCCACATTTAAAAATGGTTAATTAGATGCTATAATAAATTCATAGCCTTATATAAGCATTTAACTGCCTGCCATTGTTAAGAATACTTCTTCACTTTAAATTAAAAGTAATCAAAATGTAAAGGCTAGCAGCATAGCACACACAAGTAACAAAAATAAAATATACTTACTAATTTTCTACCTGTATATTTCCATCCCCAAGTAACACCATCGTCTGAGGCTGAGAGCTCATTAAAGGGCTTTTCCAATGAAAACGAAGAGATTTCCAAATCATCTGGCTTATTGTGTAGATCCTCACTGATTAGTTGTTCATCTTCTACTGCATCTTTTGCAATTGGATTTGTCCAGAGAAAGCCTATTTGGTATCCACTACAACCATTGGCCAGTCTTTCAGAAAATATCTGACTTCCTAACCCTCTAGTTGGATAATAGGAAGGTTCATTCAAACCCTGGGAATAGAATTCCTCTGAGAAATCCTGTAAATCTACTTTTGAAAGATTTTCAGGCATATTTAAAATATCACCTGTGGTTGATAAAGCACGATTCTCACTAATGGGTACTATTTCATTGCCATCAATTGGGATAACAGGAATTACCTGAGGTATATCATAAGGAGTAGCTCTGTACTTGTCCACTTGGGTAGGATCAACACCAACCAAATATGAATGCCCATCAGAAATATCAAGTAATTGTATTTTTTCAAATTCCATCTTTGAATTTCCCACAAAATCCCTTTCTCCATTCAAAGCAGATTCTTGAATTGTGCATTTGGCTTTTTCCCCTTTAAAAGGGTATACATATTCACTTGTTCCACAAGGAACTAAGCAGTCAGTAACATTAGCATGAACATTATCTTCCGTCAAATAAAATCTCTCTTCTTCTTTAATTGATAGTGTTGGTTTATTCAACCCGGACACACTATCAGCAAAAGCAGACAAAATTCCTTCAGTTGATTTAGAGAAAACTTGCTTCAGTTCTGGATTTTCACCATTGTTAATAGACTTACTCTCTTCTACTGACTCTTCTTTACTGGAACTTGAGCTTTGGCTTAAAGGTGATAAAATATGATGGTCTTCATCTTTGTAGTTATTCATGCTACAGGTTTTGCAATTTTTTCCTACTTGGTTTGTTTCATAATCAGAGTTTTTTGTTATGTTAGAATTAACACAAGTAAATGTGCCCACATTCTGACTGGGCACTTCCTTGCATTTTATGCTTTTTTCCTGTTCAAAGATTGCTGTAGAATGTGATTTGACCTTTTCTATCACATTTTCACTTGTTTCTCTATGATTAGCTTCTAATATCTGAAGTTTTAGTGTTTCTTTTTCAGCATCTTCTAACTGGTAAGGCTCACTTAGTTGATCTTCTGTTTTATAGCTCAGTCCTGCTTCACCTTCTTCAGAACAGGGGAAAATACATACAGAGGAAACAGAGCTACTCATACGCGATTTGGAATCATCAAAAGGCTCACCATCTTTGGGCAATGCTTGTGAAGTCTTAAGTTTTGAGTTGTTTATTCTTTGGATTAGTCCATCTGTGTTTGTTTCACATACCGCACCAGTTAAATTATAGGGCTGTGTCTGAACTTTAATTGCCTTAGTATCTACACATGTATCTACTTGGCATAAAGATTCCAACTCATTAGCCCTCTTAGCAAGCCCAACATCTCCCAAAACATTAAATTTACATTTATCTAGGTGAGATAAACTATTTTCTGATGGTAATGATAATTTCTCTTTGTTTTTGAGGTACAGAGTTTCAGTTTCTAAGCTGCCATCACCTAGGTATTGATCAACATTAATCACCATTGAATTTATATGGTGTTTAGGTTCATTGTGATCACCAAGTAGTTTAGCTGCTGCTTCTCTAACATTAGACTGTACCTGAAGACATTCATTTTCAAAGATAACCAAAGTGGTATCTTTTTCTGGACTTACATTAATTCTATCTAGACTGACACTGTCTGCTTTGCTAATATCTAAATTGAAATAATCATTATCTTTTAACGATTTTATTGAGTTATTTTCTCTTTTTTTCAAGTTTAAACTCTTCACTACACTAACTGTTACAGCTTCAGATTCTTCATTTCTTTCAAGACATGTAATGTCATTAAGTAAATTGATAGGTGAATCACCTACCTGATTTACTATTTCTGAACTATGGCTCTCTCTCTCTTCTGGAACAGCATGCAAACATTTTAGTGAGTCATCGCTTATGCTAATATTTGATTCACATAGTGCGACAATATTGTGTAATGTGTTGCTTTCTGTGTAATATTTAGGATATTCAGCATCAACTTTTGTTCTTAAAGAATCAACTTGCATGCTATCACTGCTAGCTTTATAAGGATGATCAGTACTCGTCAAGAATTGAGAATCAGATATAGTTTCCTCATTATATAAGTCCTTTATTTCAGTTGCATCTACCACATTCTGTGGTAGTAGCTTTTTCTGGTGTGCCTTTAAGTATCCTGTCCTTTGTAGAGAATCTGTGGCTAAAAATGTTTTCCCATTATCTAGAGGCCCTTTCAGTTTGTAAATTCCCTCAGAGGTAACAGCTGAATGATAGTCTTCTACTGCAGTTGCTCCAAATGTGGGAGTGCATATTTCATCTTCAACTTCAAGACAATCAGGATCTATAACACAAATACTATAAAACTTGCTATCTTTTGAAGTCTTATATTGCTTATGATCAACACAAATATGATTTTCATTTTTCACTTCTAAATCACGCATACAAAAAGAATTATTCTGATCATTATCGCTGATTTGAGCATTTACTATCATGTCATTCTCTAGTAATGAATAGCACAGATGGTTATCTATAATGGTTTTTTCTTGTACATTCTGGTAAGAAGAAACTACTACATATGAAAGAGACACATGATCTTCAGAACAAAGACCTTCAGACAAGGCTGGTTTACTGTCATTATTCACACACAATATATCACAGACATTTTCTGAATTCTGCTCCCTAAAAGTAAAATCTGAATTCTTGTCACTCTTATCTAAATTTTCATACCTAGCTAAGAACTTATATTTCAGAGTAGAAATAAAGCTAAACGACTGTTTTGGTCTATGACTCTGCTTGTAGCCAAACCGTTCAAGAATTCTAGTCCACATATTAAGATCAGCAGCTGTCCTACTGGCTTCATTATGCCGCTCCTTAACTTCAAGGCTATCCAATAAAGAAGATAAAGTTTTACTTATCTTATTTCCTGGTTTGTTTTCCTTCACAGATTTTTCTAACAGGCCAGTTTTTTCATTCTCATTGTCACTACTTAATTCTTTGCTGAAGCAACAACCCATGTTCTGAAGCTCAAAATTCACATTACAATGCTTGTCCTTTTCGGAACCTCCACAAATCCACCTCAAGCTAACTTTCTATGGTTTCCGATGGGAAGCCAACACCCAGATACCAAAAATAACCCCTTGCACAGCAGTCACAAGTCACTGCCACTCAAATCCAAAATGCTAATTACAAGAGGGTACTTACTGCATAACAAGCATGCTCTTATATCAAACAACATATGGAACTGAAAGATTACAACCAACAACAAAAAATGGTGCACATTATTTTTTCTTATATATGCCATTTCTCATAAATTCCATTTAGAAAGGTCATTATTCCAGCCAGAGGAAAACATTTCAGAATCCTGCTTTTTTCCTGATTCAGTCAACATTCTTGAATTTTCTGCCTTTATAAAACAATGTCCTTGGGCATAAAAAAATCTTTTAAGCTAATTTTATTAGGCATAAAAATGTAATGGTATCAATTAGAGATGCAAGCATGCTAATGCATTCATGAGTGAAATGTGGCACATCTGAGATTTGTTATAAAGTATTCCTGTAAGTAAACATACATAACTAAAAAGGTAAAATATTTTTTAAATGTCTAAAAAAAGAAGAAAAGGCAGAAAAACAACAACAAAATATAAGGGTAGTCGCTCAAGTTCTTAATGGGTACATTAGGGTTAAATATATTAATCTCTGCTCTTTTACAGAGTTGTGAAAATTCCAATTAAGGAAGAAAAAAAAAGGCAAAAGAAGAAAGAGAATAGCAAAATATATACACCCACAAAGTACAAAAACTAGGAAACAACTCAGAAGCACTTGTAGCATGAATGCATAGCATTTAATAAGGTGATAACCCTATTGCTCCTATACTAACTACAGTCCATGTCTGCCAAACTGCATTGTGGGTCTTGTCTTATTTCAACATTTAAGATGATTCCTTCTTAGTACACATAATTATTTTTCTTAGTATGGCTCTGATTCTAAGATAACACTTAAAAAAAAACCAAGCAGTTCTATTAAAACTCCTCTATGAGGGATATTTTGCTATTTATTAATCTACAAATTATGGCTGGTGTTCTATTAATGGTTTACCAAATATTTATATTTTATGCTAAATAAGTTTAATATTTCTAGTTAATTACATATGCACATAAATTCCTATATTGAAACTAACGTCATAGTTCTCAACTTTTCTAATGCTGCGACCCTTTAATAGAGTTCCTCATGTTGTGGTGACCCCCCAACCATAAAATTATTTTCATTGCTACCTCATAACTCTAATTTTGCTACTGTTATGAATTGTAATGTAAATATCTGATATGCAGGATATATTTTCATTGTTACAAATTGAACATAATTAAACAGAATTAAAGCATAGTGATTAATCACAAAACAATATGTAATTATATATAGTGGAATATTTGTGTGTTTCCCAATGGTCTTTGGCGACCACTGTAAAAGGGTCGTTTGACAGCACCCCCCAAGGGGTCGCAACCCACAGGTTGAGAACCGCTAAACTAAAGGGATTAATAATGGTAACTTCAGCACACTTTATATAGCACTTTGAGATATACCTTAAGTAACTGGCCTTCTCCTTGGTTCCTAAGAGATACTCCCTGGAAAACCAACCAACCTACCTATTGTACCTACCTTGAGATTTATTATCTTCAATAAGAACTATAGACCATATCTAACAAGTTAGGTAAGGTGATGAGGTAATTTGGGGGTGGAGACTGGCCAGACCAAAAAGACCACCTCATGAGATCAGGGGAGAAAGGTTAGAGTTTGCATTAAGTAATACGATCCCCAATAAAAACTCTGCACATTTAAGCTCCATGAGCTTTCAGGTTAGTAAAAGATATTTACCAAGTGAAAGGGTTCTTCCCACTGTCTTGGGTCAATTCTGACTCATAGCAACTCTATGTAACAGGGTAACATGTCCCTTCCTTTTTAAGACATGAAAGCTTTGCACTGAGAACCCTCCCAGAATTCACCATTATATGAGGTATCTGTATTATTTTTTCCCCTAGAATAAAGCTAATCTTATGTATAGCACTGTCTGTGAGTCATTCTAGTGAACTATCAAATTCAAAGAGTGGTACGGCCAGCAGTTTAAAAGTGGAGACTGGGAGCCACTAAGCTTATTCTGAGAGGGTAAAGGGGAAATCCCTAAACCTGAAACCAAAAAGAAGAAAAAACACAACAAACACTGCTATCAAGTAGATTCTGACTAATCTGGACCCTAGAGGGTTTCTGAGGCTGTAAATTTTTGCAGTAGAAGGTAACAAGGCCCAGGTGTTAGATTTAATCCGAAAGTATAAATGTGCAGATCTGAATTTTAGATTTAAGCTAATGATTATACTTTCAAGCACAAATTTGAACTATATAAATATGTTTGTTAGCTTACATATATTAAGTCACACTCCCAAGGGCCCTAGAAGTAGATAGTGGATACTATTAACTCCATTCTACAGATACAGAAAATGAAAGACCAAGTGTAAGTAACTTGCTCAGGATGGCACCACTAAACTTGGATATGATAACACTAGCTAGATTAGACCACAACCCTACATTTCTCTTTATATCACTAGAAAAGAATTTATTTATACAAAAAAAAAAAGTCTTCACTCAGGATACAAACTACTCAAATGTGCTACAGAGGTAAATGTAGTAGTGGTTAAAGGAGGAGGTAATAAGAACTTTGTGTCTCGATGCATTTTTACCAAAAATGTGAGTTTTGTTGTATTACTTAACGTCTTTCTGCTTCAGTTTTCATTTTCTCAAATGGAGTCAATACCAATGTCAATTTCAAAAAGTTGTTGGGAGGATTCCAAGTAAACCATGTATGAACTGAACCTTCAAACCACATTCTGAAGAAAACCTCACTTGTCAGGAAGTTGATGCCAACAGAAACACCACAGGACAGGGGAGAACTGCCTCGGTGGGTTGCTGAGACTCTCTATGGGAGTAGAAAGCCCAACATTCTCCTAAGAAGCTGTTGTCTGCGAACATCACCAACACATAACCCACCCGCCACCACCGTGCCTTCCTCATCACATTTAAAGTCTTCATGAGCTGACCCCAACCAACTTCTCCAATCCCCTCTCACTCTAAGGAACCAATCCTCTTTATTGCAGAACCGAGCACTTTCCTTCTGTTGAACATAGGTTTGCTATGCGTTGGAACCAACTAAACACCAAACAACTTGCCGCCACCTCCTCTACTTAACAAGTAATATTCTATTAGAGGAATTATTTTCTATTTATTGAAGAAAAACCATCATCAACAGTTTTTATTTAGGAGCATAATACCCTAGAAGTTTGATTTGGGGAGAGAACACAGTATTCTGTATTAAATAAAAGGAAGTTTAGCTACAATGTCATCATCTGTTGAATATTAGTGTACAGCATTCTTTCTCATAAGTTTACAAGTATATCGGAAGTGTGAGTACATGATAAATGTAAGAGAGTGTCTTCTAGAAACGCAGAAGGAACTAATATTAAGATAAATGTGCTAATCTAGGTTTTAAGCTATGGGTTCTCCTACTAACAGAATCAGCACTGGCCAGGGTTTGGTGATATTTTGGGCATTGAATTCCCTGGATTTGAAGCACTGAGATCAATTTTGAGGCAAGGAGGAACCTCATAAGTTAAAATGTGTTATAGTTATAGATTTGCCATCCTTAGATTTTGTGGACTTGGGGAGCTTTTCAAACGGCCTATGATCAACTAGGTCAAATTCTGTAAAAGCCTGATGTTTGAGTTGCCAGGGTAGACAAGACTGCACTACACATTTTCTAAATTGGATATACAATTTGAATACATGTTCTAAAGTTTAGCTGACAAATTTATAAAAGCATTCTCACCAAAGAAAATTAGGTTAAATCCTTGGGAGGTAGGGGTATAACCTGCACATAAAGACAAATTTGGCGAATGGGTAACTAAACTATTAATTATGCTATCTAAATGTTAATAAAGTTTATTTTCAATTTTGGTAAAGTATACCTATAAGATAAAGAAGAACTACCCCTTTGAGTTTCCGGGGCTGTGATCTTTATGAGAGCAGAAAACCTCATCTTTCTCCTGCAATATGGTCAGTGGTTTGAAACTGCTCACCTTAGCAATTAGCAGTTAACATCTTACTCACTTGGCCAGCAGGAATTCATTTGATGACAGTATCCATGAGCTACATTCCATATTTCTTGACCTAATGAGCTGTAAAACTCCAACAATAAAAGCTACATATTTGAAACACACAGAAAAGTAAAATAGTATAAAATAACTTCTTCAAAGAATTTAAATCAAATATACATACAAGTAGCACCCGTGACTAGGAAAGAGAAGAATCAATGAAGGCAATAGCTATAACTTGAGAATCCTCTTGGTGAAATCAAAATTAGGAAGCCGGAGGGCAGTTAATAGGTACTAGTTGATTTGAGGAACTCTGGTGGTGCACTACATTATACGATAGGCTTAGGTTAGCAGTTCAAATGCTCCAGCTGCCCCAAGGGAAAAGATGAGACTCTTTGCTCTGGTAAAAATTTATAGTTTTAGAAATGCACAGGGACAGCTCTTAGTAGGGTTACTATGACAAGACGGCGGTAAGAGTTGCCTATATTTTCACATAACCCAGACTTTGTATAGTTTTATATTCCTAAGCCCAATATACGAGGGGGTACCCCCCAAAACAAAACAAAAAACAGAAAAAAGCTCCGCCGGGCAGCACTTTCATAGTACTGTATGCATTTCCCCCGCTGGGCAGGCATCAAGCAACTCACTCTGAGTTAGTGCACACAGTGGCACTGCCTGGAAGGTTCTCTCTGGCCACAGTGAATTTTTTCATAAAAAGCTATTTCACACAAACCTCACTTTTTGTGATGGCCGATTTACCAGAACAGTCCATGGCTATGAAATTTTGTTTCCAGTTGAGGAAAAATGCCTCAACTTGTGATATCTCAATATCACAGAAACTTGTGATATTGAACACAGCCTACAAGGACAGCGCTACGGGAAAAACTCGAGTGTACAAATGGTCTCATTTCAACCCAGT